GGCACCCCGGGGGGTGTCTATTTGTCCCCCCCTACCCTGTCACCCCTATTTTGACCCCCCCCTTCCCCACCAGACCGACTGCTTCAACTACGTGAGGTTCCTGCAGAGCTACAACAGCTCCCACCTCTACGCCTGCGGCACCTACGCCTTCCAGCCCAAGTGCACCTACATCGTGAGTGTCGCCCCCCGGGGGGGTCCCCAAAACACATCATCCCCCCCTCCTCATTTTCCCCCCTCTAGCCCTAGGAATTCGATGCAGGGCAGCCCCCCCTCCAGCCTCAGGAGTATCATGTAGGGCTGTCCCTGTCCCTAAGGGTGTCATTCAGGGGTGTCCCTGTGCCCAGGAGGGTTTTTTGGGGGTGTCCCTGTCCCTAAGGGTGTCATTCAAGGGTGTCCCTGTACCCAGGAGGGTTTTATGGGGGTGTCTGTGTTCCTGGGGGTGTCATTTGGGGGTGTCCCTGTCCTTGTCACAGAAGGGTCATCTGGAAGGTGTCCCTGTCCACAGGGGTGTCAGGCAGGGGTGTCCCTGTCCCCGGGAGCATCATTTAGGGGTGTCCCTGTCCCCAGGAGGACTGTCCAGGGGTGTCCTCGTCCCTGAGAGCATCATTTAGGGGTGTCCCTGTCCCCAGGAGGGTTGTCTGAGGGGGTGTCCCTGTCCCGAGGAACATCATCTAGGGGTGTCCCTGTCCCCAGGAGGACTGTCCAGAGGTGTCCTCCTCCTTGGGAGCATCATTCAGGGTTGTCCCTGTCCCCAGGAGGGTTGTCTGGGGGGGTGTCCCTGTCCCCAGGAGGGTTTTATGGGGGTGTCTGTGTCCCTGGGGGTGTCATTTGGGGGTGTCCTTGTCCTTGTCACAGAAGGGTCATCTGGAAGGTGTCCCTGTCCACAGGGGTGTCAGGCAGGGGTGTCCCTGTCCCCGGGAGCATCATTTAGGGGTGTCCCTGTCCCCAGGAGGACTGTCCAGGGGTGTCCTCGTCCCTGAGAGCATCATTTAGGGGTGTCCCTGTCCCCAGGAGGGTTGTCTGAGGGGGTGTCCCTGTCCCGAGGAACATCATCTAGGGGTGTCCCTGTCCCCAGGAGGACTGTCCAGAGGTGTCCTCCTCCTTGGGAGCATCATTCAGGGTTGTCCCTGTCCCCAGGAGGGTTGTCTGGGGGGGTGTCCCTGTCCCCAGGAGGGTTTTATGGGGGTGTCTGTGTCCCTGGGGGTGTCATTTGGGGGTGTCCTTGTCCTTGTCACAGAAGGGTCATCTGGAAGGTGTCCCTGTCCACAGGGGTGTCAGGCAGGGGTGTCCCTGTCCCCGGGAGCATCATTTAGGGGTGTCCCTGTCCCCAGGAGGACTGTCCAGGGGTGTCCTCGTCCCTGAGAGCATCATTTAGGGGTGTCCCTGTCCCCAGGAGGGTTGTCTGAGGGGGTGTCCCTGTCCCGAGGAACATCATCTAGGGGTGTCCCTGTCCCCAGGAGGACTGTCCAGAGGTGTCCTCCTCCTTGGGAGCATCATTCAGGGTTGTCCCTGTCCCCAGGAGGGTTGTCTGGGGGGGTGTCCCTGTCCCCAGGAGGGTTTTATGGGGGTGTCTGTGTCCCTGGGGGTGTCATTTGGGGGTGTCCTTGTCCTTGTCACAGAAGGGTCATCTGGAAGGTGTCCCTGTCCACAGGGGTGTCAGGCAGGGGTGTCCCTGTCCCCGGGAGCATCATTTAGGGGTGTCCCTGTCCCCAGGAGGACTGTCCAGGGGTGTCCTCGTCCCTGAGAGCATCATTTAGGGGTGTCCCTGTCCCCAGGAGGGTTGTCTGAGGGGGTGTCCCTGTCCCGAGGAACATCATCTAGGGGTGTCCCTGTCCCCAGGAGGACTGTCCAGAGGTGTCCTCCTCCTTGGGAGCATCATTCAGGGTTGTCCCTGTCCCCAGGAGGGTTGTCTGGGGGGGTGTCCCTGTCCCCAGGAGGGTTTTATGGGGGTGTCTGTGTCCCTGGGGGTGTCATTTGGGGGTGTCCTTGTCCTTGTCACAGAAGGGTCATCTGGAAGGTGTCCCTGTCCACAGGGGTGTCAGGCAGGGGTGTCCCTGTCCCCGGGAGCATCATTTAGGGGTGTCCCTGTCCCCAGGAGGACTGTCCAGGGGTGTCCTCGTCCCTGAGAGCATCATTTAGGGGTGTCCCTGTCCCCAGGAGGGTTGTCTGAGGGGGTGTCCCTGTCCCGAGGAACATCATCTAGGGGTGTCCCTGTCCCCAGGAGGACTGTCCAGAGGTGTCCTCCTCCTTGGGAGCATCATTCAGGGTTGTCCCTGTCCCCAGGAGGGTTGTCTGGGGGGGTGTCCCTGTCCCCAGGAGGGTTTTATGGGGGTGTCTGTGTCCCTGGGGGTGTCATTTGGGGGTGTCCTTGTCCTTGTCACAGAAGGGTCATCTGGAAGGTGTCCCTGTCCACAGGGGTGTCAGGCAGGGGTGTCCCTGTCCCCGGGAGCATCATTTAGGGGTGTCCCTGTCCCCAGGAGGACTGTCCAGGGGTGTCCTCGTCCCTGAGAGCATCATTTAGGGGTGTCCCTGTCCCCAGGAGGGTTGTCTGAGGGGGTGTCCCTGTCCCGAGGAACATCATCTAGGGGTGTCCCTGTCCCCAGGAGGACTGTCCAGAGGTGTCCTCCTCCTTGGGAGCATCATTCAGGGTTGTCCCTGTCCCCAGGAGGGTTGTCTGGGGGGGTGTCCCTGTCCCCAGGAGGGTTTTATGGGGGTGTCTGTGTCCCTGGGGGTGTCATTTGGGGGTGTCCTTGTCCTTGTCACAGAAGGGTCATCTGGAAGGTGTCCCTGTCCACAGGGGTGTCAGGCAGGGGTGTCCCTGTCCCCGGGAGCATCATTTAGGGGTGTCCCTGTCCCCAGGAGGACTGTCCAGGGGTGTCCTCGTCCCTGAGAGCATCATTTAGGGGTGTCCCTGTCCCCAGGAGGGTTGTCTGAGGGGGTGTCCCTGTCCCGAGGAACATCATCTAGGGGTGTCCCTGTCCCCAGGAGGACTGTCCAGAGGTGTCCTCCTCCTTGGGAGCATCATTCAGGGTTGTCCCTGTCCCCAGGAGGGTTGTCTGGGGGGGTGTCCCTGTCCCCAGGAGGGTTTTATGGGGGTGTCTGTGTCCCTGGGGGTGTCATTTGGGGGTGTCCTTGTCCTTGTCACAGAAGGGTCATCTGGAAGGTGTCCCTGTCCACAGGGGTGTCAGGCAGGGGTGTCCCTGTCCCCGGGAGCATCATTTAGGGGTGTCCCTGTCCCCAGGAGGACTGTCCAGGGGTGTCCTCGTCCCTGAGAGCATCATTTAGGGGTGTCCCTGTCCCCAGGAGGGTTGTCTGAGGGGGTGTCCCTGTCCCGAGGAACATCATCTAGGGGTGTCCCTGTCCCCAGGAGGACTGTCCAGAGGTGTCCTCCTCCTTGGGAGCATCATTCAGGGTTGTCCCTGTCCCCAGGAGGGTTGTCTGGGGGGGTGTCCCTGTCCCCAGGAGGGTTTTATGGGGGTGTCTGTGTCCCTGGGGGTGTCATTTGGGGGTGTCCTTGTCCTTGTCACAGAAGGGTCATCTGGAAGGTGTCCCTGTCCACAGGGGTGTCAGGCAGGGGTGTCCCTGTCCCCGGGAGCATCATTTAGGGGTGTCCCTGTCCCCAGGAGGACTGTCCAGGGGTGTCCTCGTCCCTGAGAGCATCATTTAGGGGTGTCCCTGTCCCCAGGAGGGTTGTCTGAGGGGGTGTCCCTGTCCCGAGGAACATCATCTAGGGGTGTCCCTGTCCCCAGGAGGACTGTCCAGAGGTGTCCTCCTCCTTGGGAGCATCATTCAGGGTTGTCCCTGTCCCCAGGAGGGTTGTCTGGGGGGGTGTCCCTGTCCCCAGGAGGGTTTTATGGGGGTGTCTGTGTCCCTGGGGGTGTCATTTGGGGGTGTCCTTGTCCTTGTCACAGAAGGGTCATCTGGAAGGTGTCCCTGTCCACAGGGGTGTCAGGCAGGGGTGTCCCTGTCCCCGGGAGCATCATTTAGGGGTGTCCCTGTCCCCAGGAGGACTGTCCAGGGGTGTCCTCGTCCCTGAGAGCATCATTTAGGGGTGTCCCTGTCCCCAGGAGGGTTGTCTGAGGGGGTGTCCCTGTCCCGAGGAACATCATCTAGGGGTGTCCCTGTCCCCAGGAGGACTGTCCAGAGGTGTCCTCCTCCTTGGGAGCATCATTCAGGGTTGTCCCTGTCCCCAGGAGGGTTGTCTGGGGGGGTGTCCCTGTCCCCAGGAGGGTTTTATGGGGGTGTCTGTGTCCCTGGGGGTGTCATTTGGGGGTGTCCTTGTCCTTGTCACAGAAGGGTCATCTGGAAGGTGTCCCTGTCCACAGGGGTGTCAGGCAGGGGTGTCCCTGTCCCCGGGAGCATCATTTAGGGGTGTCCCTGTCCCCAGGAGGACTGTCCAGGGGTGTCCTCGTCCCTGAGAGCATCATTTAGGGGTGTCCCTGTCCCCAGGAGGGTTGTCTGAGGGGGTGTCCCTGTCCCGAGGAACATCATCTAGGGGTGTCCCTGTCCCCAGGAGGACTGTCCAGAGGTGTCCTCCTCCTTGGGAGCATCATTCAGGGTTGTCCCTGTCCCCAGGAGGGTTGTCTGGGGGGGTGTCCCTGTCCCCAGGAGGGTTTTATGGGGGTGTCTGTGTCCCTGGGGGTGTCATTTGGGGGTGTCCTTGTCCTTGTCACAGAAGGGTCATCTGGAAGGTGTCCCTGTCCACAGGGGTGTCAGGCAGGGGTGTCCCTGTCCCCGGGAGCATCATTTAGGGGTGTCCCTGTCCCCAGGAGGACTGTCCAGGGGTGTCCTCGTCCCTGAGAGCATCATTTAGGGGTGTCCCTGTCCCCAGGAGGGTTGTCTGAGGGGGTGTCCCTGTCCCGAGGAACATCATCTAGGGGTGTCCCTGTCCCCAGGAGGACTGTCCAGAGGTGTCCTCCTCCTTGGGAGCATCATTCAGGGTTGTCCCTGTCCCCAGGAGGGTTGTCTGGGGGGGTGTCCCTGTCCCCAGGAGGGTTTTATGGGGGTGTCTGTGTCCCTGGGGGTGTCATTTGGGGGTGTCCTTGTCCTTGTCACAGAAGGGTCATCTGGAAGGTGTCCCTGTCCACAGGGGTGTCAGGCAGGGGTGTCCCTGTCCCCGGGAGCATCATTTAGGGGTGTCCCTGTCCCCAGGAGGACTGTCCAGGGGTGTCCTCGTCCCTGAGAGCATCATTTAGGGGTGTCCCTGTCCCCAGGAGGGTTGTCTGAGGGGGTGTCCCTGTCCCGAGGAACATCATCTAGGGGTGTCCCTGTCCCCAGGAGGACTGTCCAGAGGTGTCCTCCTCCTTGGGAGCATCATTCAGGGTTGTCCCTGTCCCCAGGAGGGTTGTCTGGGGGGGTGTCCCTGTCCCCAGGAGGGTTTTATGGGGGTGTCTGTGTCCCTGGGGGTGTCATTTGGGGGTGTCCTTGTCCTTGTCACAGAAGGGTCATCTGGAAGGTGTCCCTGTCCACAGGGGTGTCAGGCAGGGGTGTCCCTGTCCCCGGGAGCATCATTTAGGGGTGTCCCTGTCCCCAGGAGGACTGTCCAGGGGTGTCCTCGTCCCTGAGAGCATCATTTAGGGGTGTCCCTGTCCCCAGGAGGGTTGTCTGAGGGGGTGTCCCTGTCCCGAGGAACATCATCTAGGGGTGTCCCTGTCCCCAGGAGGACTGTCCAGAGGTGTCCTCCTCCTTGGGAGCATCATTCAGGGTTGTCCCTGTCCCCAGGAGGGTTGTCTGGGGGGGTGTCCCTGTCCCCAGGAGGGTTTTATGGGGGTGTCCCTGTTCCTGGGGGTGTCATTTGGGGGTGTCCCTGTCCTTGTCACAGAAGGGTCATCTGGAAGGTGTCCCTGTCCCCAGGGGTGTCATTCAGGGGTGTCCCTGTCCCCAGGAGCATCATTTAGGGGTGTCCCTGTCCCCAGGAGGACTGTCCAGGGGTGTCCTCCTCCTTGGGAGCATCATTTAGGGGTGTCCCTGTCCCCAGGAGGGTTGTCTGAGGCTCTCCCTGTCCCCAGGAGCATCATTTAGGGGCGTCCCTGTCCCCATAATGGGTCATCCAGGGCTGTCCCTGTCCCAGAAGAGTCATCTGGAGGGTGTCCCTGTCCCCAGAAGGGTTCTCTGGGGTTGTCACTGTCCCCAGGAGGGTTGTCTGAGGCTGTCCCTGTTCCCAGGAGCATCATCCAGGGCTGTCCCTGTCCCAGAAGGGTCATCTGGAGGGTGTCCCTGTCCCCAGGAGGGTTCTCTGGGGTTGTTCCTGCTCCCAGGAGCATCAGTCAGGGCTGTCCCTGTCTCCAGGAGGGTTCTCTGGGGTTGTCAGTGTCCCTGGAGGGATTGTCATTGTCCCCAGGAGGGTTCTCTGAGGCTGTCACTGTCCCCAGAAGGGTTGTCTGAGGCTCTCCCTGTCCCCAGGAGGGTTCTCTGGGGTTGTCACTGCTCCCAGGAGCATCAGTCAGGTGTTGCTGTCCCCAGGAGTCTTCTCTGGGGCTGTTCCTGTCCCCAGGAGTGTTCTCTGGGGCTGTTCCTCTCCCCAGGAGCGTCATCCAGGGCTGTCCCTGTCGCAGAAGGGTCACCTGGAGGCTGTCCCTGTCCCCAGGAGGGTTCTCTGGGGCTGTCACTGTCCCCAGGAGGGTTGTCTGAGGCTGTCCCTGTCCCCAGGAGCATCATCCAGGGCTGTCCCTGTCCCAGAAGAGTCACCTGGAGGGTGTTCCTGTCCCCAGGAGGGTTCTCTGGGGCTGTCACTGTCCCCAGAAGGGTTCTCTGGGGCTGCCCTTGTCCCCAGGAGCGTCATCCAGGGCTGTCCCTGTCCCAGAAGGGTCACCTGGAGGGTGTCCCTGTTCCCAGGAGGGTTCTCTGGGGCTGTCACTGTCCCCAGGAGGGTTGTCTGAGGCTGTCCCTGTCCCTATAGTGAGTTATAAATTCCTGTCCCTGTCCCAGAAGGGTTCTCTGAGGTTGTCCCTGTTCCCAGGAGGGTTCTCTGGGGCTGTCACTGTCCCCAGGAGGGTTGTCTGAGGCTGTCCCTGTCCCCAGGAGCATCATCCAGGGCTGTCCCTGTCCCTATAGTGAGTTATAAAGTCCTGTCCCTGTCCCAGAAGGGTCACCTGGAGGGTGTCCCTGTCCCCAGGAGTGTTCTCTGGGGCTGTTCCTGTCCCCAGGAGGGTTGTCTGAGGCTCTCCCTGTCCCCAGAAGCGTCATCCAGGGCTGTCCCTGTCCCAGAAGGGTCACCTGGAGGGTGTCCCTGTTCCCAGGAGGGTTCTCTGAGGCTGTCAATGTCCCCAGGATGGTCGTCTGAGGCTGTCCCTGTCATCAGGAGTGTTCTCTGAGGCTGTCACTGTCCCCAGGAGGGTTGTCTGAGGCTCTCCCTGTCCCCAGGAGCATCATCCAGGGCTGTCCCTGACCCTATAGTGGGTTATAAAGGGCTGTCCCTATCCCAGAAGGGTCACCTAGAGGCTGTCCCTGTCCCCAGGAGGGTTCTCTGGGGCTGTCCCTGTCCCCAGGAGGGTTGTCTGTGGCTGTTCCTGCCCCCAGGAGCATCATCCAGGGCTGTCCCTGTCCCCAGGAGGGTTGTCTGGGGATGTCCCCGTCCCCGGGGCTGGTTTGGACATGGCGGGGACATGAACAGGGGAGGGGGTCGGGACCCCCACCCACACTCTTTCCCCTCAGGAATTGTCCGGCTTCACCCTGGACCAAGTGGCTTTCGAGGACGGGAAGGGGAAGTGTCCGTACGACCCCACCAAGGGCCACACCGGCCTCATCGTGGGTAGGTGGCACTGCCAAGACCCCCGCTGGGGTGGGAGGGAGTGTCCCTTGCAGGGTTGTCCCCCCTCCCTAAACCCTTCTTCTCCTGCAGACGGGGAGCTCTACTCGGCCACCTTCAACAACTTCTTGGGCACGGAGCCCGTCATCCTCCGCAACCTGGGCCCCCACTACTCCATGAAGACGGAATATCTCACCTCCTGGCTCAACGGTAAGAGCGGAGGGGACAGGATGGGGGACACCCCACCCACACCCTGCCACGGCGTTACCCTCCTTCTCCCCCCCTTTCCTCATCCCCCCCAAAATCTTCCGCAGAGCCCCACTTCGTGGCTTCGGCGTACGTGCAGGAGAGCGCGGCCAGCAGCACGGGGGATGATGACAAGGTTTACTTCTTCTTCAGCGAGCGGGCGGTGGAGTACGACTGCTACGCCGAGCAAGTGGTGGCCCGGGTGGCCCGTGTCTGCAAGGTAACGGGGAGAAGATGGGGCAACCCATGGATGGGGACACCATCGTGTCCTCCCCACCCCGTAGCTTCTCGCTGGTGGCCTTGTCTTGGAGAGATGGGGAGGGACTTCACGTCAAGGAGTCGATAGGATGAGGGGGAAGGGTTTTAAACCAAAAGAGGAGGGATTTAGATGACATCTAAAGGATGGATTCAAGGATTGGAGCATCTCCCTTATGAGGAGAGACTGAGAGAGCTGGGGCTCTTTAGGCTGGAGAAGAGAAGGCTGAGGGGAGACCTTCTCAATGCTGACAAGTATCTCAAGGGAGGGTTGAAGGAGAAGGGAACCAGACTCTTTTCAGTGGTTCCCAGTGAGAGGACAAGGGGCAACGGGCACAAGTTGGAACAGAAGAGGTTCCACTTGAATATGAGGAGGAACTTCTTTGGGGTGAGGGTGGCAGAGGCCTGGAACAGGCTGCCCAGGGAGGGTGTGGAGTCCCCTTCTTTGGAGATTTTCAAGACCCTCCTGGATGCTCCTGAGTAACATGCTCTGACAAGCTCTAGGCAATCCTGCTTCAGCAGGGGAGTGGGACTAGATGATCTCTATGGTCCCTTCCAACTCTAAAAATTCAGTGAAAATTCAGAGAAATTCAGTGAAATCTCAGCTGGCAATGACCCATCAACG